GACCAACAAGCAACATATATTTTGATCCTTCGGTTCTACTCATGACCTAGACAGTTAAGCTGAACCCGACAGATTGAGGCAATCCTCACCTTAACTGATCAAACTGGTACTAACACAATTTTCAGATATAAATGTTCTTTGCGATACGTTTTATTGCAGCTTTTGGCAACTTGATGAAGACCAAGTAAACGAAAAAACACAGCGGGGCAACTTTACTTTTTTGGGGACCTTTTTTCCTCACGAACTTCCCGATCCTGTAAACCCCATAACAGGGGGATTTGCCCCCTTAACAAATCGAACAGGGACATTTACAAATTTTCCCAAGGGAAAACCCTGAATTTTTAAAAGGCCAAAAAAACCCAATGAAAGGGGGGTTTCCCCCAAAAACCCCAAAATTTAAAAATCATACGACAACTGAATTAAAAAGTTTTCTGACGGGGGGCACCCTTTATTCCCCCCCGGATCCTCCCCGAGCGGCCCCCTTTTAAAAAAGGGGTTTTGGGGTTAAAAAGTCCCTGGGGACACCGATCCGTCCAATCAAAAACAGGAAAATGGGGCAATCTATCTGGGGTTTACTTTCCTTACTTTATTTTACCCCCCTTTTCACAAAATTTTTTCTCAAACCCCAAAATTTACCGGCAAGGTCCCGTGGGAAAATCGGGGCCCCCGGGGAAACACCTCCCGGGAAATTTAAATAGGGGGATTGTTTACACTTAAAAAACCGTGGGCCCCCTCGGGCCCCCGTTTAAAAAAATTTAAAAAAAACCCCCCCCCCCCCCCCCCCTTGGGGGGGGGGGGTGGGGGGGGGGGGGGGGGGGGGGGGGGGGGGGGGGGGGGGGGGGGGGGGGGGGGGGGGGGGGGGGGGGGGGGGGGGGGGGGGGGGGGGGGGGGGGGGGGGGGGGGGGGGGGGTGGGGGGGGGGGGGGGGGGGGGGGGGGGGGGGGGGGGGGGGGGGGGGGGGGGGGGGGGGGGGGGGGGGGGGGGGGGGGGGGGGGGGGGGGGGGGGGGGGGGGGGGGGGGGGGGGGGGGGGGGGGGGGGGGGGGGGGGGGGGGGGGGGGGGGGGGGGCGGGGGGGGGGGGGGGGGGAAAGGGGTTAAAAAAAACCGATCTTATAAGGGGTTGGGCCCCTCCTCCAACGGGTGGATGCCAAACCCTCCCCGTCAAAAACCGGGGAAAAAACAATTTCTTTAGTTTTTAGCATGTTTTCGGTTTTATTTTTCCCAAATTTGGGGGAAATTTGTATTTTTAAAAAAAATTTACTCTAATATGAGGGCGCGATATGAACTGGTGAATGCCAAATGAATTTAACTTTTGGGTTTGAGTTTACCCCCAACCCGGGAACAAAAGGAATAATGCTTTTATCCTTTAGTGTTTCCTTTTCTTAACTTTGACCTTTTGACAGTAAGTTTTGGGGACAGAATCTAAGGGCACGAACCCCTTCCCCTGGGCAAAACTGAAAAGTTCCCCGGGGGAGCATATACCCGGAGGAAAAACATGGTTATAAACCCGACAAATTTTTAAGGGAATAGTTTTAAAATGGTTCCAAATTTTTTTTTTCCAGGTTAGACAAATAAAAATTTCAAAATTTTTCTTTTTTAATTAGTCATTGCCTTTTTAAATATGTAAAATTGAGTCCCTTTTTCACAAAATTTTAAAAAAGATTTTTGTAACTTTTTAAAAAGGGTGCACTTCCCTCAAGTCCAAAGGAATTCATTTTGGGGAGCGGGGGTTTTTTTATTTTAATTAGATAACACGGGAAATTCAAAATTTTTGATAAAAACGTTTAACGGGGGGAATAGGGGGGCTGTTGAAATGGGGTTTAAGGGGGGAACCCCCCCCTTTTGTTCTTTTTCCCGCTGCAAATTTTTTTTCCGGGTCAAAGGGGTTTGAACTTTTTGTAAACCCATTTAAAAATTTCTATTTTGAAAAATTTCTTTTTACAAATTAAAATGGTAATATTTTTAAGCTGGTTAAACCCTAAAAACCATTTTTTTCCCCGGGGGGGTCCGGGGGGGTTTTTTCCCCCGTTTTTTTCCCCCCTCCTCCTCCCCCCCGCCCCCCCCCCCTTTTTTTTTTTTTTTTTTTTTTTTCCACCTTTTTATTTCCCCCTCCCCCTCCTCACCCCCCCCTCCTCCCCAGTTTCCCCTCCCTCCCCCCCTTTCCTCCCAGTCCTTCCCCCCAGTCCTCCCCCCCCCCCCCCCTCCCACCATCCTCCTCCTCCCCCCCCTTTTTTGTTTTTTTGTATCCATGCTACCCTGATTTTCTAATTTCCCGGGTTAAAAAATTTTAAATGGTATGTAAACGAATGAATTTTAAATTTCCCAAAGTCCCTTAAAAAATAAATATCCCTTTTTGGGGGGGGGTTTCTCAAAGTGCGAGAACCCCGTCCAAATTTTCCCTTTTTAACAATTCCCTACAAAAAATCACTTTCTTCTAAAGCACGGGGTTGAAAAAAAAACCATTCATTGCCCCGGGGTTTAAAAACATAAACAGGCCTTTTTTTTCCCCCCGGCCCCCCCCCCCCAAAAGAAAAGCCCCCCGGCCCCCATCCCCCCCCCCCCCCCCCAAAAAAAACCCCCGCCCCCCCCCCCCCCCCCCAACCCCGGCCCCCCTAAATTAAAACCCCCCCAACCCCTTTTTTAAAATTATTCCCCTCCGGGCCAAAAAATTTCAGGGGAAAGACTTACTATTAAACTAAAAAAAAATTAGTTATTTAAAATTTTTTTTTCCCTGAAATGGACGGGTAAACCCACATTTAGTTGGGGGAGGGGACCCCAAAACACAAACAAGATTTTGGTTTTTTTTTCTTAAAAAAAAAAACCCCAAACCCCCCCGAAACCCCCAAACCCCCCCAACATTTTTAAGTACGTGGGGGGGATGGGGACGTTTATATAAAATGAAAAAACAATCACACTAAATTTTAAGTTTTATGACGTAATCATTGGGGTGTTTTAAACCCCGGGGCAATATTTCAGCGCGGACCTTTGCCGGGTCAAAATGTGGTAAAAGATTTAAAAAGTGAAAAAGAGGGGCAAATAAAAGAAAGGAAAAATTTAAACACACGATTCGAATTTTGCTCCTTTTTTTCCCGTTTTTTTGATTGGGCGGGTGGGTTCCCAAAAAAATGACAAAACCCCTCTATTACAAAATGGTCCCCTCTTTTGGGGGGAAACCCCCCCGGAGCAAAACAAGGGGTGCCCCCCTCCCTCAGAAAACATTAATTCAGTTGGCCCGTAGATTGGGTTTTATTGTTGGGGGTTTTGGGAACCTACCTTCAAATTTTGTTTTTCTTTTGACCTTTTTTTCCTTTTTCTTTTTTCTCGGGGAAAAATTTTGAAATACCTGTTCGATTTTTTTTAAGGGGAAGATCTCCCCGGGTTTATATGTTACAAAGGAAAACAAATGTTCGTGAGGAACGGGCCACCCAAAAAAAGGGGTTTTCCTTTTCCCTGCTGTGGTTTTTCGTACTTCCCGGGCTTCACTTTAAGTTGCAAAGCTGCAAAAAAAACTTTTCGCAAAAAACATTTTTATCTGAAAATTTTGTTTGTGGCCATTTTTATCATTTTGGGGAAAATTGCCCCAATCGGCGGGTTTCAGCTTAAAATTCTAGGTCATGAGTGAACCGAAGGATCCCCAAAAAAATATTTTTTTTTCCTTTTGGTTGTTATTAAAAATAAAACATCAATTTTGGGGGATAAAGGGGTGTTTATAGGTTTTTGAAAACCATTTCGAAAATTTTATTTTCGTGCAATTTTAGGTTTAGAACCCGTCATAAAATGATTAATAAAAAGGGGCGATTTCCCCCCGGGTTAAATTTTTGGGGGGGGGGGCTTTCGTTCCCCGAAAATTTTAAATTCCGGGTTCCCAAAGGAGGGAACAAGAAGGGCGTTACAAGTGTTTTCAAAACCCCTATAAAAAACAAAAATTGTTTAAACCAACCCCCCCTCACCTGCCCTTAAAAAATGTTTCTCAAACCTTAAAAAAAACAACAATTATCCCCTCCCCCAAGCCCCCTTAAAAAAGTTCACAAAATTAAACAACCCCCCCCCCCCCCAAACCCCCCCTCCCCCCAGAAACCCCCCCTAAAATATACCACACAACCGAAGATACAGCCCAAATTTGTTGCCCGTACTAAAAAAACAAACGTAATATCAACCAAAAAAAAAATCAAAAAGACGTTTAAAACAATTAAAATTTCACGGGCACGTTTCGGTTTAAAAACCCTCGTTACCCATGGGGGATTAGCCAAAAAACATATTTTTTCGTTTGAAAATTTTCACGGGGCGGTCCCTTTTTAAATTAAATTTTTTTAAAATAAAATTTTTTGGGGTTAAATAGAGCAATTTTCTGTACTTTTGGGAAAAATTTAAAAAATATTTAAAAAAAAAAAAATGATGGGGGCCCAGAAAGGTTTTAAATGCCCAAACGCAACCCTTTTTAAAAATATGACCTTTTTTAAAATCTTTCGATACGTGGGGCCACACTTAACCAGGATAACCCTTTAAATCAATCAATGCCCCCGAAAGGGGTTGGGGAAAGGCTTATGGACAAACAAAAAAGGGGGGGCGCAAAAACCCCCAATTTCTCGGTTTTAAAAAAAGGGAAAATCACTTTTCCTATTTTTTCCAAAGTGATCAAACGTTCCCAAAACCCCCCAAACATGCTCGTTACCCCGCCCAAAAGGCCCCAAAATTGGGGGGGGGTTTTCTCGCACGAAAAAAGCTCCCCCATGAAAATTACTTACTGGGGGGAAAAAAAATCCAAATGATTAAGTGCCCAAATCAAAAGTAAACTGCAAAAATCTTTTAAAAAGGGGCCATAAAATCTTTTAAAATTTTTTTAACAAACCCAAATTTTAAATTTTTTTGGGAAAGCACTTCAATTATCAAACCAATGTGTCTAGAAACTCTGAAGTTCTTAGCTGAAAGCGTTCTCACTTTATGGTGACAATAGCGAAAAGGAGGGAGTGGCGTGCCACACCCACTGTAATTAATCAAATTTGACGAAACTTTCAGGAAATCTAAGTTTGACCCATATCTATAATCTCTGAAATTTCTGTGCATTTCTAAGAAGAGTTACGCGAGTTACTTCTGGGCCACCCTGTATATATATAATGTATATATTATAATGTATATATAATGTTGTCGTAAATATAATGAGACCAAAATCTTGTCTCATCAATAATTTTAACAGAAATTTGATCCATATAATACTACTACTATAAATCAATAAATAGATCGATCACAAAAAAGGCTAGATCTGTTTTGATGAATTGTTGGGTATTAACTGCATGACAAATGCATTGTACGAAGTAAACACTAAACAGCAAACAAAGCAGTAATCACAGAAACATGAGACCAGACAATGACGTCACACTGGGGCAATTAACATAATCTAAACGATTAAGCATAATTATAAAGTAACATACACTGTCATTAATTAATTAATTAATTAATTAGACTCCACGAAAGGTTTTAAAGCAGTCTGGAGCTCGCTGTAAGCAGTATCCAGATTGTCGTTTACTATGGTGTAATTGAAGAGGTCAGGGTGTTGAGCTATGTACTCCATATCTTTCTGAAAGTGAGAAAGTTTTATCCATTCTTAGAAATAATCAAGCTTTTTATTATTCAATCCTACATATTGATTAAAATAAATTGTATTGATTAAATTAACATGATTAAGAGCGAAACATGTTCATTCAAAGGCATGTAAAGAATGTAATGTATATTTTAATGTAATATGTATTGTAATGTGATATGTATTGTAATGTGATATGTATTGTAATGTGATATGTATTGTAATGTAATGTGTATAATTTTAATGTAATATGTTATATGTATTGTAATGTGATATGTATTGTAATGTGATATGTATTGTAATGTGATATGTATTGTAATGTAATGTGTATTTTAATGTAATATGTATTGTAATGTGATATGTATTGTAATGTAATGTGTATTGTAATGTGATATGTATTGTAATGTGATATGTATTGTAATGTGATATGTATTGTAATGTAATGTGTATAATTTTAATGTAATATGTTATATGTATTGTAATGTGATATGTATTGTAATGTGATATGTATTGTAATGTGATATGTATTGTAATGTAATGTGTATTTTAATGTAATATGTATTGTAATGTAATGTGTATTTTAATGTAATGTGTATTTTAATGTAATATGTATTGTAATGTGATATGTATTGTAATGTGATATGTATTGTAATGTAATGTGTATTTTAATGTAATATGTTATATGTATTGTAATGTGATATGTATTGTAATGTGATATGTATTGTAATGTGATATGTATTGTAATGTAATGTGTATTTTAATGTAATATGTATTGTAATGTGATATGTATTGTAATGTGATATGTATTGTAATATAATACGTTATAATGTGTAAGACAACTTCAAGCCCAGAAAACTTGAATCTAATATGAACCGCTATGAGAGTGAAGGGTATATGTGGTTGAAGAAGGCTGTCAAGGATGGCTTAATAGCCATAACATCGGCTGATAAGGGCGGTGCGATAATCATTGTCACCCCTCAGATAATCAAGGATATCACTTCTGCCAAAGTTGAGGACCCTTTGAGATACAGACCTTTGCAAACTGATCCTACTGGATCTTTGAGAGGGAGGTTGTTAGAGCTGTGGTCATCTGGTTTGGAGCGGAAGTATGTAAGTGGTGAACAGTCTAAGTGTGTGGTTGGTTTGATTCAGAAGTCTGATCGGGACACTCTTTCACAGAGCACTTCAGATCTAGTCAAGCCCGATATTCCGTATGGTTACCCATTACTGAAAATTCACAAGCTGACTGAGACTGAAATTAGAGAGAAAAAGATTCCACCCAGTCGATTCGTGACTGATCTCTCTAGAGGAGTAACTGCAAGATCAGATAAGTTTGTTGTTTGGAAGTGGTTGGGACCTCTTGCCAGGGATTACTGTATAGATCTTGTTAAAGATTCAACTGCAGCTCTCATAAAACTCGAGGAATTGGCAGCTTCCGGACAAGTAGTCGATACTTGGATCAGCTTCAGTATTGATATTGTTTCTCTATACGATTCTCTGCAACATAGCTTGGTGATGTCAGCCTTAGATGATGCTATGGAGTCGTGTAGACCAGATTGGTCTGAGGAGTTCAGGACTTGGCTGAAGGGACTGATACAGCTTAGTTTTGATTCGGCAGTCTTGAAGAATGCAGACAACTGGTATGAGGTCGTTAACGGTGTACCCACTGGAGGTATCAATTCAGTGGATTGCGGTAACATTGCTTTGTTCTTTGTCCTAAAGAGTCTGGTTTACGACCCGGTTGTTAGACCAGAGGAGCTCAAGAACCTTGATCGGTTTGTGGATGATATTTCGGGCCAAGGTATGTGGAGAGGTTCTATGATTGGTTTTGAAGAATGGGTAGGGTCATTACGCAGTAAGATGGTTGATAACTATGGCTTAGATATTACATACGAAGTGAAACCAATCACGGAGTTCACTCAGTTCCTGGACATTCAGTACAAGTTTGTTGGAGGGAGACTCACAACAGATCTGTTTAGGAAACCTACTGACGCCAACAGGTATCTAGAATTCTCAAGTTTCCATCCACGACATACCTTCCGGAGTATAGTCTTCTCACAGGCACTTCGATACAGAAGGATAATCAATGATGACGTCTTGCTGGATGAGAGATTGGCAGAGCTTCAGTTGTTTTTTGAACGGTCTTCATATCCTACTGATATGGTGAGAGAGGTCATCAGTGATGTCAGATCGATACCAAGAACTTTACAGTACAAGGCAAAGGATCAGGGTCCCCCTTCTTTCACACCATGGATTGTTACATTCGGTGCGGGCTATGAGGAAACCAAGGAAAAGGCTAAAGAGGCCAGTAACATCATCTCAAATAGCCGTACATGGAGCAGTGAGAACCCTGAGAGGATCCCTAAACTCCAAGTGGTGACCAGGCGAGCCCCTAACTTAAAGGACACTTTATTCAAGAGAAAGAAGCTTGCCTTAGGTTCAGAGTCAAGAACAACTGACCCATGCACCAAACCTGGCGAGAAGAAGAAAGGCAGACCCTGCCAAACTTGTCACCTTGTTAGTGGCAATTCCATGGTCTCCAATAATGGACACTCAGTCAGAACTCAAGGTGGTAACTGTAAGACACGCAACATTGTGTACGGCGCGACATGCAAACTTTGTACTGTTAATAACGTATACGTGGGAAAAACAGTCACCAGCCTCAGCCAACGTGTGAATGGTCATCGCAGTAAATATTATGAGATTTTAGAGGCGAGTAGTAAGGGGAATGTTGAGAGCCATAGAGTTTTTGATGACGAGAATGTTTTAGGGGCACATCTTTTTTCAGTTCATAATTTGAGGGAGAGATCTGTTTTCAATGAAAGTTTCCATTTTGATATTTTGTGTTCTACATCCCCAGATAATATTAGAAAGTCAGAACAGTTTTATATTAACAAATTGAAGACACTTTATCCGTTTGGCCTGAACAATGTGAATTCCGTTTCTGGAAGCTAATTTTTCATGGTGTCCCGAATTTTATTTTTAAATCGTCCATTTTTTGTTTATATATGCAGTCTATCAATTTTTGAATTGCGTCTTTTTGATTTAATGAACTACTGCAGACTCCACATAATTATAGTATATGCGATTAATTTTGTTCCGATTATAAACTATTCCATTTTTACGAGATGCTAAATTAATTTTTTGAGACTTTACTACATTTTTGATGAGAATTTTTGACATTTTCAAACTAACCATTGATATTCTCAGATTATGTGACTGATTAAATGCTGAAGATAAAAGAAATATATTCATTTTGCTAAGATTATGTTTGCGTTTCATTGCTCAACAGCTGTTCGAAGGATCAAATATAAGATAATACGTTATACGTATGGTAATGTATTATGTAATATGTATTGTAATGTAGAATGTGTTATGTTGTAATGAAATTTGTATTGTATCTTTTTGACCGAATAAAGAGCAGATAAATTCGTGACATTGAATATAATTCCTGTACTGCATTGTCAGCAGTACAGTCTTAACCTACTTGCTATTATATAATTCCTGTACTGCATTGTCAGCAGTACAGGAATTACTGTACTTAACCTACTTGCTATTATAAGCCAATAATTTGACATGGCCACTAAAAACAGAGAAAATCTATTTTCCTTGTGTTCATCTATTGCCACTTAATGTAGCTGCGTCATATTTTAATGTAAATACACAATTTAACTCGACATTTAAAAGTTTGCAAATGAATAGAATTTAGTTTGTCGAGTTTTATCAATCACTTAGAACTAGGACCAAGGCAAGAGTACATCGTAAATATATTAAATCGTACATTTTCTTTAATAGATTAAATACGTACTGTATTATTATATGTAATCAGGCTAAGTAATGTATAACTAGCAGGAACCCGTATAACCCTAAAATGGTGTCAAGACTCAAGAGACTAAAATAATTATAACCTATTTAATTCGCGTTTTTGACACCACTCGGGGTCCAAATTTGGGGCTCTAAAACTCCTATTTCTTGGCCAATTCTTTATTTTTTCATGCTGATTTGGAAGCCATTAAGGCATTTGACCCAGTCAAAAAGGTTTCAGTTGTATATCTTTTACGGTTTTTGTGGAAAGTAGCGTTAAAGTTGATGCCGTGGTGTCAGTAAAATGGTACGGATATATATCGTCTCGCTTTATTATATAATATAGTAATATAGTAAGATGGTGTAATAAGTTAGTCAATTTAACATAATGGTGCAATTAGTAAGTCAATTCAACATACTGGTGCAGTTAGTTAGTCAATTCAACATCAGCTAAATACTAGTTACCATGGTAACTAGTAGCTACATACTAGTTAAGTAGTTACCATGGTAACTAGTACAATAAGCGCAATAAAGACCTGTCAGCTGAACCCGGCTCTAATAAAGTAATAAAAAACAGCATTCCTTTACACAGAACACGTGATCCATAACAAGGTGTCACAAGTGCGAACTGTAGCCTGTAAACCCCCCCTCCCGTCACAAGGTGTCACAAGGTGTCACATAACCAAGTTAATGGGTTAAGGAAGGCAAAGATCTCTTAAAATACAGAGTGTGACAACAGAATTTTAAGTGAACTTAAATAATCAGTGTATTCTTAGCATGCTCTGAATTAATACCATGGTTGTTAAGTAACATTTCAAGTACAACATTTATTTCAGTGAGAGTGCTCAGTGTACTGAAGCCTAGCAACCAGTGTACTGTAGCCTAGCAACCAGTGTACTGTAGCCTAGCAACCAGTGTACTGTAGCCTAGCAACCAGTGTACTGTAGCCTAGCAACCAGTGTACTGTAGCCTAGCAACCAGTGTACTGTAGCCTGTAAACCAGTGTACTGTAGCCTGTAAACCAGTGTACTGTAGCCTAGCAACCAGTGTACTGTAGCCTAGCAACCAGTGTACTGTAGCCTAGCAACCAGTGTACTGTAGCCTGTAAACCAGTGTACTGTAGCCTAGCAACCAGTGTACTGTAGCCTAGCAACCAGTGTACTGTAGCCTAGCAACCAGTGTACTGTAGCCTAGCAACCAGTGTACTGTAGCCTGTAAACCAGTGTACTGTAGCCTGTAAACCAGTGTACTGTAGCCTAGCAACCAGTGTACTGTAGCCTAGCAACCAGTGAACTGTAGCCTGTAAACCAGTGTACTGTAGCCTAGCAACCAGTGCACTGTAGCCTGTAAACCAGTGTACTGTAGCCTAGCAACCATTGCACTGTAGCCTGTAAACCAGGGTACTGTAGCCTAGCAACCAGTGTACTGTAGCCTGTAAACCAGTGTACTGTAGCCTAGCAACCAGTGTACTGTAGCCTAGCAACCAGTGTACTGTAGCCTAGCAACCAGTGTACTGTAGCCTGTAAACCAGTGTACTGTAGCCTAGCAACCAGTGTACTGTAGCCTAGCAACCAGTGTACTGTAGCCTAGCAACCAGTGTACTGTAGCCTGTAAACCAGTGTACTGTAGCCTAGCAACCAGTGCACTGTAGCCTAGCAACCATTGCACTGTAGCCTGTAAACCAGGGTACTGTAGCCTAGCAACAAGTGTACTGTAGCCTAGCAACCAGTGTACTGTAGCCTGTAAACCAGTGTACTGTAGCCTAGCAACCAGTGTACTGTAGCCTGTAAACCAGTGTACTGTAGCCTGTAAACCAGTGTACTGTAGCCTAGCAACCAGTGTACTGTAGCCTAGCAACCAGTGTACTGTAGCCTAGCAACCAGTGTACTGTAGCCTAGCAACCAGTGTACTGTAGCCTGTAAACCAGTGTACTGTAGCCTGTAAACCAGTGTACTGTAGCCTGTAAACCAGTGTACTGTAGCCTAGCAACCAGTGTACTGTAGCCTAGCAACCAGTGAACTGTAGCCTGTAAACCAGTGTACTGTAGCCTAGCAACCAGTGCACTGTAGCCTGTAAACCAGTGTACTGTAGCCTAGCAACCATTGCACTGTAGCCTGTAAACCAGGGTACTGTAGCCTAGCAACCAGTGTACTGTAGCCTGTAAACCAGTGTACTGTAGCCTAGCAACCAGTGTACTGTAGCCTAGCAACCAGTGTACTGTAGCCTAGCAACCAGTGTACTGTAGCCTGTAAACCAGTGTACTGTAGCCTAGCAACCAGTGTACTGTAGCCTAGCAACCAGTGTACTGTAGCCTAGCAACCAGTGTACTGTAGCCTGTAAACCAGTGTACTGTAGCCTAGCAACCAGTGCACTGTAGCCTAGCAACCATTGCACTGTAGCCTGTAAACCAGGGTACTGTAGCCTAGCAACCAGTGTACTGTAGCCTAGCAACCAGTGTACTGTAGCCTGTAAACCAGTGTACTGTAGCCTAGCAACCAGTGTACTGTAGCCTGTAAACCAGTGTACTGTAGCCTGTAAACCAGTGTACTGTAGCCTAGCAACCAGTGTACTGTAGCCTAGCAACCAGTGTACTGTAGCCTGTAAACCAGTGTACTGTAGCCTGTAAACCAGTGTACTGTAGCCTGTAAACCAGTGTACTGTAGCCTAGCAACCAGTGTACTGTAGCCTAGCAACCAGTGTACTGTAGCCTGTAAACCAGTGTACTGTAGCCTAGCAACCGGTGTACTGTAGCCTGTAAACCAGTGTACTGTAGCCTGTAAACCAGTGTACTGTAGCCTAGCAACCAGTGTACTGTAGCCTAGCAACCAGTGTACTGTAGCCTAGCAACCAGTGTACTGTAGCCTAGCAACCAGTGTACTGTAGCCTGTAAACCAGTGTACTGTAGCCTAGCAACCAGTGTACTGTAGCCTAGCAACCAGTGTACTGTAGCCTAGCAACCAGTGTACTGTAGCCTAGCAACCAGTGTACTGTAGCCTGTAAACCAGTGTACTGTAGCCTGTAAACCAGTGTACTGTAGCCTGTAAACCAGTGTACTGTAGCCTAGCAACCAGTGTACTGTAGCCTAGCAACCAGGTGTTATTCAGGACTGATAATGTTCTAAAAAAGTTTGGCCGAAGTGTTGGAATTCTGTTATATTCAAAAATCCAAATAATTGTCCTTACTTTAGCCTGAGAAAGTCTCTTCTCTAAACTGTCCTTGTTCTCTGTGTTTCTGTCTCGTAGTCTCTGTTCCAGTGTTGAGAAGGAAGGGGGTTTAATGTACACGAAAACTGGTGACATTTCCACACCTACTTTCTTAACCTGCACAATGAAGGAGGTAGTAGGTACAAATTGTCCTGACACTTGTTGCATTTTGCTAGCTCACAAAATTTGTTTATACTTACATTTTGATATAAAGGTCCTTTCTTAAGGGGGCAGGGGGGAGGGTCTTCATGGAAATATTCTCAAAATCACACCTAAGGAGCATGTCACTGGGGCGAGATCGGTTCTTTTTTGAAGCGCTGAGCTTTGACCGGCGATAATTTCGGCTAGGAGTATATATAATATATATATATTTTCTATGGGACCAAAAGCATCTGATAGATATCACTCCTATCCCTCTATCAGAAACAACTGAAAAGTCGATTTTGAGAATATTTCCACCCCCTTAAAACTGACAATACACAGATTCCACTGCAAAAACAGAGCTATCCTTAATTATTATTATTATATTACATCTCTTGTACAAGGCAATGTTGCCAGATCTTCAAAATGATCCTCAAATGTTTTTAGTTTTACAGAATCTTGAATCACCTGTTCAATCTTTCAAATTTAAAAGTAGAAATAAAATAAAATCCACTTGTTACTTTCTTCACCAGTACAATTTGCTTCTCATCAGGGACAAGTAAGTAAGTAGTAAGTAAGACACACATAACAAGTAAGTAAGGATCAGGGAGTATGACACACATAACAAGTAAGTAAGGATCAGGGAGTATGACACACATAACAAGTAAGTAAGGATCAGGGAGTATGACACACATAACAAGTAAGTAAGGATCAGGGAGTATGACACACATAACAAGTAAGTAAGGATCAGGGAGAATGACACACATAACAAGTAAGTAAGGATCAGGGAGTATGACACACATAACAAGTAAGTAAGGATCAGGGAGTATGACACACATAACAAGTAAGTAAGGATCAGGGAGTATGACACACATAACAAGTAAGTAAGGATCAGGGAGAATGACACACATAACAAGTAAGTAAGGATCAGGGAGTATGACACACATAACAAGTAAGTAAGGATCAGGGAGTATGACACACATAACAAGTAAGTAAGGATCAGGGAGTATGACACACATAACAAGTAAGTAAGGATCAGGGAGTATGACACACATAACAAGTAAGTAAGGATCAGGGAGTATGACACACATAACAAGTAAGTAAGGATCAGGGAGTATGACACACATAACAAGTAAGTAAGGATCAGGGAGTATGACACACATAACAAGTAAGTAAGGATCAGGGAGTATGACACACATAACAAGTAAGTAAGGATCAGGGAGTATGACACACATAACAAGTAAGTAAGGATCAGGGAGTATGACACACATAACAAGTAAGTAAGGATCAGGGAGTATGACACACATAACAAGTAAGTAAGGATCAGGGAGTATGACACACATAACAAGTAAGTAAGGATCAGGGAGTATGACACACATAACAAGTAAGTAAGGATCAGGGAGTATGACACACATAACAAGTAAGTAAGGATCAGGGAGTATGACACACATAACAAGTAAGTAAGGATCAGGGAGTATGACACACATAACAAGTAAGTAAGGATCAGGGAGTATGACACACATAACAAGTAAGTAAGGATCAGGGAGTATGACACACATAACAAGTAAGTAAGGATCAGGGAGTATGACACACATAACAAGTAAGTAAGGATCAGGGAGTATGACACACATAACAAGTAAGTAAGGATCAGGGAGTATGACACACATAACAAGTAAGTAAGGATCAGGGAGAATGACACACATAACAAGTAAGTAAGGATCAGGGAGTATGACACACATAACAAGTAAGTAAGGATCAGGGAGTATGACACACATAACAAGTAAGTAAGGATCAGGGAGTATGACACACATAACAAGTAAGTAAGGATCAGGGAGTATGACACACATAACAAGTAAGTAAGGATCAGGGAGTATGACACACATAACAAGTAAGTAAGGATCAGGGAGTATGACACACATAACAAGTAAGTAAGGATCAGGGAGTATGACACACATAACAAGTAAGTAAGGATCAGGGAGTATGACACACATAACAAGTAAGTAAGGATCAGGGAGTATGACACACATAACAAGTAAGTAAGGATCAGGGAGTATGACACACATAACAAGTAAGTAAGGATCAGGGAGTATGACACACATAACAAGTAAGTAAGGGATCAGGGAGTATGACACACATAACAATAAGTAGGGATCTAGGGAGTATGAAACCACATAACAAGTAAGTAAGGATCAGGGAGTATGACACACATAACAAGTAAGTAAGGATCAGGGAGTATGACACACATAACAAGTAAGTAAGGATCAGGGAGTATGACACACATAACAAGTAAGTAAGGATCAGGGAGTATGACACACATAACAAGTAAGTAAGGATCAGGGAGTATGACACACATAACAAGTAAGTAAGGATCAGGGAGTATGACACACATAACAAGTAAGTAAGGATCAGGGAGTATGACACACATAACAAGTAAGTAAGGATCAGGGAGTATGACACACATAACAAGTAAGTAAGGATCAGGGAGAATGACACACATAACAAGTAAGTAAGGATCAGGGAGTATGACACACATAACAAGTAAGTAAGGATCAGGGAGTATGACACACATAACAAGTAAGTAAGGATCAGGGAGTATGACACACATAACAAGTAAGTAAGGATCAGGGAGTATGACACACATAACAAGTAAGTAAGGATCAGGGAGAATGACACACATAACAAGTAAGTAAGGATCAGGGAGTATGACACACATAACAAGTAAGTAAGGATCAGGGAGTATGACACACATAACAAGTAAGTAAGGATCAGGGAGTATGACACACATAACAAGTAAGTAAGGATCAGGGAGTATGACACACATAACAAGTAAGTAAGGATCAGGGAGTATGACACACATAACAAGTAAGTAAGGATCAGGGAGTATGACACACATAACAAGTAAGTAAGGATCAGGGAGTATGACACACATAACAAGTAAGTAAGGATCAGGGAGTATGACACACATAACAAGTAAGTAAGGATCAGGGAGTATGACACACATAACAAGTAAGTAAGGATCAGGGAGTATGACACACATAACAAGTAAGTAAGGATCAGGGAGTATGACACACATAACAAGTAAGTAAGGATCAGGGAGTATGACACACATAACAAGTAAGTAAGGATCAGGGAGTATGACACACATAACAAGTAAGTAAGGATCAGGGAGTATGACACACATAACAAGTAAGTAAGGATCAGGGAGTATGACACACATAACAAGTAAGTAAGGATCAGGGAGTATGACACACATAACAAGTAAGTAAGGATCAGGGAGTATGACACACATAACAAGTAAGTAAGGATCAGGGAGTATGACACACATAACAAGTAAGTAAGGATCAGGGAGTATGACACACATAACAAGTAAGTAAGGATCAGGGAGTATGACACACATAACAAGTAAGTAAGGATCAGGGAGTATGACACACATAACAAGTAAGTAAGGATCAGGGAGTATGACACACATAACAAGTAAGTAAGGATCAGGGAGTATGACACACATAACAAGTAAGTAAGGATCAGGGAGTATGACACACATAACAAGTAAGTAAGGATCAGGGAGTATGACACACATAACAAGTAAGTAAGGATCAGGGAGTATGACACACATAACAAGTAAGTAAGGATCAGGGAGTATGACACACATAACAAGTAAGTAAGGATCAGGGAGTATGACACACATAACAAGTAAGTAAGGATCAGGGAGTATGACACACATAACAAGTAAGTAAGGATCAGGGAGTATGACACACATAACAAGTAAGTAAGGATCAGGGAGTATGACACACATAACAAGTAAGTAAGGATCAGGGAGTATGACACACATAACAAGTAAGTAAGGATCAGGGAGTATGACACACATAACAAGTAAGTAAGGATCAGGGAGTATGACACACATAACAAGTAAGTAAGGATCAGGGAGTATGACACACATAACAAGTAAGTAAGGATCAGGGAGTATGACACACATAACAAGTAAGTAAGGATCAGGGAGTATGACACACATAACAAGTAAGTAAGGATCAGGGAGTATGACACACATAACAAGTAAGTAAGGATCAGGGAGTATGACACACATAACAAGTAAGTAAGGATCAGGGAGTATGACACACATAACAAGTAAGTAAGGATCAGGGAGTATGACACACATAACAAGTAAGTAAGGATCAGGGAGTATGACACACATAACAAGTAAGTAAGGATCAGGGAGTATGACACACATAACAAGTAAGTAAGGATCAGGGAGTATGACACACATAACAAGTAAGTAAGGATCAGGGAGTATGACACACATAACAAGTAAGTAAGGATCAGGGAGTATGACACACATAACAAGTAAGTAAGGATCAGGGAGTATGACACACATAACAAGTAAGTAAGGATCAGGGAGTATGACACACATAACAAGTAAGTAAGGGATCAGGGAGTATGACACACATAACAAGTAAGTAAGGATCAGGGAGTATGACACACATAACAAGTAAGTAAGGATCAGGGAGTATGACACACATAACAAGTAAGTAAGGATCAGGGAGTATGACACACATAACAAGTAAGTAGGGATCAGGGAGTATGACACACATAACAAGTAAGTAAGGATCAGGGAGTATGACACACATAACAAGTAAGTAAGGATCAGGGAGTATGACACACATAACAAGTAAGTAAGGATCAGGGAGTATGACACACATAACAAGTAAGTAGGGATCAGGGAGTATGACACACATAACAAGTAAGTAAGGATCAGGGAGTATGACACACATAACAAGTAAGTAAGGATCAGGGAGAATGACACACATAACAAGTAAGTAAGGATCAGGGAGTATGACACACATAACAAGTAAGTAGGGATCAGGGAGTATGACACACATAACAAGTAAGTAAGGATCAGGGAGAATGACACACATAACAAGTAAGTAAGGATCAGGGAGTATGACACACATAACAAGTAAGTAAGGATCAGGGAGAATGAC